GCAGTCCTGGTAAGTTTTGGTCCCCCCCCCCCCCAAATCAAAAAAGGCACATGTCGAGTTGAGAGAACTTGTGCGTGCGTGCGTTGTGCGTGTGCGTGTGTGTAGCACAAAAGACTAACAATGCGGCCCCCCTCCACCCAACAACAGGTCAAGAATTACTTTGTCCGCCAGAAGGACCAGGGCAAGACTGAATGGGATGCAATTGTGCAAGAAGCTGATGGGAAGCGGACCAGAGGGGAGAAGCGGCCTGATCCACCACTGCCCACAACGGGTGGACGAGGACGGAGATATGACAACTCGTCTGCAGTTGGCTCGACCAGGCCATTGGCTGTGGCACCGGGCATGGAAATGCACAACGAGCCAGCCCAACAGAAGATGGAGGCGACGAACCAACCTCCTCGATCCCAACCGTATCCCGGTGGCTATGGTGTACCCATTGCCCAAGCGCCGACTCAGCAGCAGCAGCAGCAACCGTCTCAGCAGCAGCATCAGCAGCATCAGCAACCTCCGCCGCCGCAGCAACCTCTGCAACAACAACAGCAGCAGCAGCAGCAGCAGCAACAGCCGCCGCCGCAGCCGCCGCCTCTCGCCATCCAGCAACACGCCGTGCCGACGCCAGCTTCCCAGGCCATGTCGCCCGGACCTCGCCCAGCCTTGCGTGCTCCTGCACAAGCCTTTGGCTTTCCCGAGCATGCGCGAGAGCGCGAGGTGGTCGCACAAGCTCACCAACGAGTCCCGTTGCCGCCCAAGGGTGGCGGTGGTGCCAACCAAGTTCCTGAACTTCGAGACCAGCGACCGCTGGCTGCTGCTCAGCCAATACCGTCCGCACATCCCGACTCGATGCTTGAACGCCAACAGAGAGAAAGGGAGCGTGAGCAGCGCGATCGCGAGCGGGAACTTGTCGCCAGGCAAGCTGAAAGACAGTCGATGCGAATAAATGCCGAAGCAGAGCTGGCACATCAGCAGCGCCATTACGAACAGCAACAGCCGCCGTACGGCCATCGCCACCAGTCCAGCATTGGCCAAGGACCTCGAGGCGAACCACTATCATTGTCACGGCCGCCTTCACAGGAGCCTTCTCGATCTGCCGCCGCCCAGCCATATCCTCCACCGCCGACGATGCATCAGCAGCCGCAGCCGCCGTCTCACGCCGTTCGTGGCATGATGGATCACCCGTCCGTTGTGCAGTCTCCTCCCCTGGGTCCGTCGTCACGGCCAATGTCTTCACTGCAGCAGCGACCACCACCCAGCCAGGTCCAGGAACCGTATGGCCATGCGCCGCCTCCTGGTCCTCCAGCACCTACGCCGTCGAGTGCGTCGAGGCCGCCGACCGAGCCCCGCAAGACTTCCAACATCATGTCTCTTTTGAATGACGATCCGCCCCCGGCATCGAAACGTGTCAGCGAAGTATCAAACGTGCCTTCTGGGCCATCAGGAACCCCTCCACCCCCAACGATGGGACGACCACCGCCTCCGGGACCTGCGCCCCCTTCACAAATGCGCCGCGAGCAAGAACCACAGTATTCTCCGTACGGGCGAGCGGCCACCAGTGCCTCAGCCATGCCATCACTCAAGCCTACCACGTATGGGGGATCGCCAGGTCAGCCTCCTCACATGGGTGTGCCGCGGTCATCCATGGGCATGGCCAACGAGCCAGTGCCTGCCGACAGAGATGCCTACTACAGAGGACATGCCGCATACCAAACTGGACACCACAGCGGAAACAACTCTCCTCAGACCTCGCACCGATACCCTCCTCCCCAGGCACAACCTCAATACCCGCCTCAAGGCGGTTACGCATCATACGGCCCTGGCGCACAACCCACCCACGCCGCCTCGCCGCCGCCACCCCAGTACGGTGGACACGGTTCGGCCTCGAGATCGCGAGAAGTTCCACCTTCCGGCCGAGACAACGCCTGGCCTCAGCAACCGACTTCCTCCAGCGCCTGGCCATCTCAGCCCTCCAAACCCTCACAGGGCCCTCCGCCTCAACAGCAATGGGGCCCTCCGCATCCTTCATCGACATCCAAGCCATCCACTCCCGCTCAGGCATGGGCATCTGCCCCTCCTCCCCAGCACGTCGGCATGAGAGACGACCGCGGCGCCCCCGTGTACGCCTCAAGCTCACAACCACCCCAGCACTCGATGCAGAGTCGATACCCGCCGCCTGGACCTCGCGGGCCCGAGCCTGTGCCCCCGGCACCAGCCCAAGGGTACCCGCGGTATGCGTCAACGCCAGGTCCGGGGCCCAGAGACCCGAGAGAGCACCCGCGTAGCTACACGCCGGGATATGATTCCCGTGGCCCACCGCCTGGAAGCGGCTATCCCGCGCCTGATCCTCGGGAGATGCAGATGCGCGATGTTAGAGATCCAAGAGACCCCAGGGACCCAAGGGACGTTATGGGAAGGGGCTTGCGGCCGCACGAGTATGAGAGGCATCCGGACCGGTATGGGCGCTAAGGTTTCAGTTTTTTTCTTCTTTTCCTTTGTTCGGTCCATGACGGGCTTCATTGCTTTTTGCCTAGTATATATGATGTATGTGTAGTGGCGTCGGTAGTTTCGGCTTTTGTATAGGCGTGGTTGAATACAGGTACGGCACCTGAATGCCCTGTGTACCGTCATGATATGTAGTCCCAAGACGATTTTTATCAGTCCCTTTTCTGGGGTGTTGCTACTGGCTGGGGCTGTTGCTAGTCCTAGTCGAAAAGGGAGTAGACATAGAATTCTACTATCCTTCTGCTACCCTGTCAGTCTGGGCAGGGCATCCGACGAAGTGGGGGAACGTGGTCTTTCTCGCCTGCAGACGAGCTAACTAGAGACTATCATGTTGGTCTCTTACATCCTGTGATCTACTCCATACATGCATGGCATTGGTTACATTTCCAAATTTTTGGCCAAATTGTTTTACACGGATATATAATCGCCCACAAACACGTATCCAACAAGGCTTGATAACGCTCAGTGGTCCTCCTGCCCACTCAAAATATCCATCTCCCCGTCGTTGATCAACCTCACCAGTCTCTCAATCTCGCCTACATCCCCATTGACCTCTTCCACGCCCACGCCCACCGTCTCCCCCACCGCTTCTATCATGACATTCAAATTGTGCTCACGCTCCCTTAGCTTGTCGACCTCGCGGGCTAGAAGGCACAGTTTCTCGTGCCTGGCGTCGCATTCCGCGTCTAAACGGCACATGTAGTCCTCCAAATAGGCGTATATGTCCTCCCTCTCGCTGTGCTCCTCCCTGTCTGCTTCTGTGCGCAGCGGGTGGCGTCTGCGCATGACTTTGCCTGCGTGTGCGGCGATACTGTCTAGTGTTTCCTGGAGGGTGGATATCTGGTCGTGCAGGCGGCTGCGGGTGCGGGTAAGTTGCGATATGTGTGGTTCTGAAGAGTCGAGAAAGGAGGCGCGGCGGCTGACGGCGCTGGTGTATTGGGAGAGGGGGACGGTGTGGATTACAGGCGGCGCGAGGGGGTGGGTGAGCGCGGCTTGGACTTGGGGCTGGTTAACCCGTCAGCGGCTTTTTGATACAGTTTGCGTTTTTTTGGGGTTCGGGCAGGTAGTTGACGAACGAGCGTGAGGGTATATACTTTGTTCGGGAGGCGGTGGGACATGGCCGTGTTGGCGGGCGCGGCGTGGAGTGACAGTTTACGCTGCCACGAGCGGATTTCGTGGTGTTTATCTACTTTGTTAGTGGCTTGGGTTGTTGAGCGTCGTTCTTGAACTCACCGGATGAGATGGACGGACAGGATGCCGTGGTTGAGTCGTCGGGTACCAAGTCGATGTGTTCGTGAGCAGCATGTAGGCCAGCCGTTTCAACATGGCACATGCCGCAGTTGTCTGTACCTTGGCGAGTATTATTTTGGCCTCTCGCACAACCGGTGGTCCATAAGCGGTATGTGTCTGGTGATATCCTGCCCGAGTCCTCGCCGTCTGACACATAGGGGTCTGTACGGTCGGCTCCGTCCTTGATAAATGCAGCAGTTGACTCACCTCGAGGTTCTGTATGGACGTCTCCGCCGTTATGGTAACCAGAGAAGCTACAGTCTGCTTGGGAATACTGTGCTGCGAAGTTGTTCTCGGATTCCGCACGCGATGTTGGTCCGGCAGCTCCATGTATCCTCGGCTCGTCACCCCATCGAGTTGTAGCTTCATCACTCGGACGAGGCACTGAAAACACCCTCCTATTCCCATTATTATCTCCAACAGTACGTGTCGAGTTCAGATCCTGCGCCTCCAACTTCCAGAGCAACAAAGAGCAGTCACTTTCTGGCGCACAGCTTCTATGGTGGCCTTTCAACCACGCATACAAATTTGTCTTTTCTCCATGACTGCTTCCGATCATGGCGTTGTAAGCAAACAGGGTGGAGTCTGTTATTTGCCAGTTTCTTGCTTTGCATCTACTACCATCATTGCAGTGCTGGTCTTTTGGGACCCGACATTCTGGTACTTTTGGTCGCGCTTGGGGGGAATTGAGATGGCTCTGGGGACAGAGCAGGCTCTTTGGGGTCTCCCTTGCATTGACAAGCTTTGTCCTGGTTCTTGAACGCAATATATCATCTTCTGTATTCGTTAGAGGCGTTTCAAAGAGAGTTATGCAGTAACGAACCTAGCTTAGTATAAGATTCCGGAGGGACTGACACATGTTGCACATCCACCGTTCTCCGTGGACCCTCCCTTATAATAGCATTCTCCTCGGAAGGTATCGGTATGTCTAGAAGATCAGCATAGATAACCCCTAAGTTGAAGGTTCTTACCTGTGATGTTACTCTGTACAGAGCACGACGTGAAAAACGTATCTTCAGAGGCTAGTACTGTACGTCAGTATTAGCCAAAACCGCTGACAATACACTCACTCTCTTTCCTCCAATCCTCGTCCTGCGATACTTCTTTTTTGGATGTCGTGCGCCCCCATTCATCCACTTGCTCCCTCCAGCAGGTCTTTTTGCTCCGTCGGCGATGGGAAAGCGAGCCGTGGAAGAAGTCACGAATGGTGACGCGTGCGGCGCTTAGGGATCTAGAAAACATTGCAATTGAACCATATGAAGGCGACTGTCGGTGCATCGAGGGACAAATCGGTTGAAATAAGGCATAGAAGGCGACCGCAGGTGAAGATGGATCAGTTTTGTTTATTTACATGTAGACGGTATGTCTTGACAGCTGGCGACGGGTCTGGCAACTGACGGCAGATCTTTTCAGGCACTGCGAGGATAGGCTGTCCTTTTCACGGCTCATGGAAATGGAGAGACGAGAGATAGGAAATGTATTGTATATTAGTGTGCCACGTCGTATTGTTGATATGCTAGTTCCCTCGGGACTGGCCTGTGTTACCGGTTTGCCATAGTCTCAATACAGAGTAGTTGCCGCAAAGGTTGTACAGTTCGTGCGAGTCGAATAGACAGTTTCATTTAGAGGGACGTTTGTGTAACCATATTCTTGTTTCACGGACTCCAACACCATCTCCGGCCAAGACACGCACCTGGGGATATTGACACGTGCCTTGTCGGGCCCAGGACACAGATGGGAAATTCAACATCAACTTGGACTCATGACACATGTGATTGGCGTATCAAATGACCGCGGCAGATTCTACGACTGTGCCATTGACTGGATTGGCAGCAGGGATGGTGGAGGTCGGCCCTCAAGAATTGGAAAGACAAGGACTGATAATCAAAATCTCCTATGAAATTATGATGCTGACTGTAGACCTTGACGCGTGGCCCAATTGCCCTCATCAACGTCGTCGTCGCAGTCGGGATAGCGGAAGGGTGAGAGTAGATGCATGAACGGCGGCATAGAGAACCAAGGAAGGAAGTCTGAGCGGTTTGTCTTGTTCCCGTCTTGTGGGCTCCACGCAATACAAATATTAGAACCAGACACCTGTGCACAGGCCTTGGCTTGGAAAGGCGACATTTGGGTGTACTACGTACTGCAACTACAGTGTACACCCAATCCGGAGTGTAGACCGGGATTCAACAGAATCTGTTGGCTGCAACTGGGAGTTTTACCTGGCGAGCGCTTCCACTCGCTTTTATGCATTTGGGGATTATTCAAGTCCCGAGGAAGGGGTCCATATGCCAGCGCGGCCCAACCTGGCTCGCAATCCACCGTTTTCCCGCACTCATCAATCTTTTTTTGTAGCACAGACTGCAAAGATTCATTCATCTCGATCCTTTCATGCATCGCAGCTGTACTGTCGACTGTGGATCATTGCATTGTAACTCGTCGGCGTTGCCATCCGGTCATTCCCCCCTGGGCCCTGGCGGCGCACCTTGGCAACTTTGACCTTCTGTGAAACCTACAGGCCAGGATGGTGTCACAGCTCTTCTGCATGTTCTCCATGCGTCTCTGTACGACTACGTTACCATTCGACCACTACGCGGATGGATGATTTCGTTGATAATGCCCTAATGGTCTCATCCCATCGGTGCACCGGAGCAGCGCCCAAGACTTGCAAACACTTTTCCCTTCTCCATCATGATGTAACGACACACTGGGGATAAATGCGCGACAAGTAGCTGACATTGACAAGCAGGCACGCAAACCCGCAGGGGCCAATCTGCAGTCTTCCGCTGCTCAAAGAAACGGCGCTCATGGCTCCCCGTGCCCCGAGTAACTAGCCAGCAACCAACCAACTTGCCAGGAGAGGGCTACACGCAATGAGCCACAAAAAAATCGAATATGCAATTTAACTCATGCCATGAGGAGGGTGAAGCATCCAAAGCGGCCTGCCAATATGAGGTGGTTTGGGACCTCGGCGTCTAGGCATTCATCATGAGCGTCGTCGCGCTCCAACCACCTCCTGCGGCACCGCACCCAGCGGTCGAGCCCAAGAGCTGTCTTGATTCCCTTCTCTCCCGCCATCTGGCCTCTACTCCTCGTCTCTATCCACCTCTCAGCAGAAATGAATCTCCTCTTGGTCATCCTCTCTACGGTCAGCATCATCATAGCCAGGAACCTCGATACCTTGGACCCTTGCATCCTCTCTTGCATGCTCCAAGTTCTACCCTTGGTTGGATGCAGAGGGAACGACGACGAAGTCGTTTTATGCAGTTGCAAGATTATAGAAAGGTACCAAATCGTCGGCAACATTGTAGATTGTACGGAAAAAACTTGCAATATTGGGTTAAAGGACTTCCCCCAGGTTCTGAAGAATAGCCAGAGTTGTTTGGATGCCTTCGGGCCCTCTACGGGGGTACCCTCCGTAGCTCTACCAAGTTACATTTCTACTGTCGGAGCATTCAGTTCATCTAGCTCGACCAGCAGTCCAGTCTCGAATACTCCAGATCCGCCGAGTAATAGTATTTTTGGGACCAGTACCCCGACCTCGGCGACTGTTCCAAGCAGCGACCTCAGCAATACTCCAGCTAGCGCTACTTCAACCGGCACTCCAAATTCTACTCCAAATGGCAGCGAAGGCACTCCCCCAACGAGGACTCCTACACGCACTTCGTTAGCCACCCCGATTCACACTCTACTCAGCACTGTTATCAGCAATGCCCCGATAGGTGGTCAAACCGATGGTCTGACGGCTACTCCCACGGCCTCTCCAGCGCCTCCTTCAGATGGTCCAGGTTTATCCCCCGCCGTCATCGCAACCATTGTCGTCTCTACTGTGACGGTAATCGGCGTGCCCTTGTGGCTGATACGATGCTACCGATGGCGCAAATCACGAGCGACGTCTCCCGTGGAAGGAAACGCCCCGCCAAAACGCAACGAGTCTGTTGTCATGGGGTATACTGAGCTACTAGGTATGTCTATGTGGCTAGATACACGAATACCGATGTCAATGGGTGGACAAGATGGCTAAACCAAGATAGGTTCGACGCAGATGAGGCACGAAATGCTGTCACACACGCCGCCAAACGCCCCATTGCCGCTGTACATTAACACGATAGCCGAGATTGATTCAGACCCCCTCCGAAAGACACCAGAAGTGTCTCCCGAGGACGTATCTCCGGAGGATGCCATCAGCCAAGCAATGTCGTTCAGTACAACGACGGCCGTCTCTCGTCCAGAGCCGCCGCAAGCCGCGGACGAGGAAGAGGCCCATACAGAGGCGGCCGAGGACTCTTCAGGGGCCGCAGCGGATGCGGAGGCAGAGCTAGAAATGCTTCGGAACAGACAAAAGGAGCTGGAAAGGAAGAGGCAATACCTTCAAAAAATTCAGGAGATTGACGAGGAGGAGGCGCGGCTTCAGGAACGGATTGACGAGCTGCAGCAGCAATATCAACCGCCTGAGAAATAATTTTTCAGAAGCTGGAACGCGAATTTATGTCCGCTTTGTGTTATTATCCAATTGTTTTTATTTTCGGGGGGTTCCCTCATGGGCCATAGGCTTGAGCAGTTTCTCGTGGATGGGGGGAGGAGGAGAGCGGAGACGAGATATTTTACACATATCCATGTAACATAAGCGCATAAAGCGTACCATATATGAACATAATAATGGTGGCAGATAAGAAGTAGTTTTGCAAAGTACATGTCTGTATCCGTTTTGGGAGCATGTTCAAGCGTTCTCTGGGCGTGTTTCGAGCACTCACCTAAAATGGCCAGCGACTCGTATGTGAATGACTTACAGCGGGGGGTGGGGGCATAAGTATTTGAACCCACCCACCGTAGTACTGTCTGGCAATCCTATTTAACCCTAACTAATTAGGATTTATCTGGCGTTTTGTCGAGCCCCTTCTTCTACATCCACTCAACTTCAAATTGATATAGCTCAACTTCCAAAAAACCAGACATCAACAATCCAAATCTTTGCACTCCTGGCTCATGGGCTCCCACCACAGCTGCCCATTGCCCTCCGCTTTACGGAGTATTTTTCCAGCCGTTCCTCATCCTATGAGCACCATGGCCAGAGAGCCTGAACCAGTCACGAATGACCCTGCGAACGACACGGGTCGCTAAACATGGCGGGTCGGCCATCTTCTTCAAGCCTCGAGGATTCTGGGGTTTGGAAATGCCCTCGCTGAGCAGAGATATGGAGAGCTTGTTTTGATTTACTACGGGGACCCTGCATGGCTACCGCCATAGAGTCACTTTGTTTTCCTGCGACGTCAGCATCAAACTATTACCCGCACTGGGAAGCGCCTTGCAGAACGGATCAGCACCGAGAGCCAGCACGGGGTGCAAGCCCGGCAAACAATGAGGCATGGAGTCGCCATTGTCACCATGTCCGCGCTCGCATCTTGCCGAGAGCGAAGACCTCCTTCAGCCGGTGATCATCGCCCAAGGGTGAAATGACAGATCTAAACGATCTGTCAACGGCACGTCAAACAGCACCGAAAAAAAAACACTGAGCCCTTTCCGTTTTCTACTCAGGGGGGATTATCACAAAAACAAGACAGCATGCAACCCAAAACAAATGAGCGCGTGTGGCACTGTTGCGCTCTCGCTTGTTCCCTTGTGCCGCAGACACCCCCATTAATGGAGGCAAAAAAAGAACCAAACCCAGGCAGGGGCAGATGAGCCGATTCCAAAACTGCGGCTTTGTTCGTTTTTTACAGTCATAGTTTTCGACATATGATATTATTCTTTCGTTTGGTTCTTCGTCTAAATGTTGAAACGTCGTTAGAAGTCGATGGTCTGGGCCTACCTGAGCGGACTTGAGCCGTGATTCCGATTTTGAAGCCAGCACCACCGCGCGGTATATCATCACAAGACCACACACCTGTCACCACCTGAACCACCTGAACGTTATTCGAAATTTTGACAAAGGCCGTCGAGAGAAGTGCGGGTAGGAAATCATCAACTTGCGCAGCGATAACCGCCAAATGTGGCCAGACATGGGCTCTTGGTCTTTGATGAAGACCGTCTACGCGACGTGAGACACAACAAAAGAAGACGAATCGGACTTGCTCGAGGCCATTCATGCATCAAATAACCCGCAAAAATGGTGCTAAAACATTCCAGCGTCTATGATCGCCGACATGGCCTCGTGGGCTGTGAATGAAGAAATGAATAGAAGTTGCCAGTCTGGCATCCTCTAGCCTCGGCTCGATTCAATTCAGTTCGTCAACAACGACTGGTACTTTGAATTTCTTTCTCCGGATACATCAGTCAGTCAGCCGACATGCGCTACATTTTTGCTCTCCTGCCTTTCGCTGTCGCGGCATTCCCTCGTACCAATGAGCTCACTGAAGTCTGCAAGGTAACTCTCAGAGGCACATCCTCCTTTACCAGCCAGATACTAATGCGACTCAATTTCACAGGGCAAACCAGCCGGTAGTTATTGCTCCTTTCTAGTGGATAACTGCTTAGCACATGGAAGTAAGTATAGTTATCTATCAGCCTTGTAAGATGGCTCTTGGCTAACAGCTGCAAAGGATGCAATTCTGGTATATGCGACGTCAAGGCCTGCGACAAAATTGACCGCCATGCCATGGACTCCCGAGACTTGACGGAGAATCGGTAACCCAAGCGTGGTCCGCATACCACTGTTCATGAAGGGGGGTGGCAACTATGTCCCTGCTGGAATTGCTTGGACTGGCTTCCAATCGTACAGCGCAATGCGCAGGGAGAAAAGAGTCCGAAGCAAGATGACTACTTGGCCCTTTGTCTCTTTTTATACTCTGGCATCATGTAATGCAGTAAAAGTGCAACACGGCCTAGTCGCCTCTGTTCTTCCCTACATTTCCCTTTCCGTCAAGTTGTGTTACTGTTGAACCTTGAAAAGCAGGAAGCTACGTTTAGGTATTTGCTCCGTACAGGAGGCCCTGTATCATGTACTGGGTCGATCAAGTGCGTGAGCAATAGTAGCTTTGAATGTCAGTGCTCTAGTGCACTTGCGTCGACAATATGAAAGAGAGGAATTACCCAGTATTCACTCCTTGACTTAAATGGCCAAAAGACAAGCGACGGATCCCTGAGCTACCTATCTGCCTATCTAGGTACGCAGAAAGAAGAAGCATAGTCAGTACGTTATTCCAACCCCGGGACACAAAGCAGCCGCCTGACTATCCAGCTCAACATTACGGGAAGAAGTAGTCATAAAGCACAAGTTATCTTCTATTATTAATAACATGGCACCACGCTTATAGTCAGTCCTCAACCGGCTCCCCCAGTCCTAAAGTCTGGCTAACATTCATAGCAGCACTACATGTCGACAGTGTAAGCCGCAAACATAGGTCAATTCCCGAGGATGGCCACGATGTGGGAGATACCTGGGCCCAGGGACATGGTGCAATGCAGGAACTGACATGAGGCTGCCTCGCAAGAGTGGCGCCAACGTGTGTGACCGCACCTCTGTGGCCATTTGTTGCTGCTTTCAGAAGGAGACGTGATTCCTGCTCGTCACAAGGGTAATCATCCCAATTGTCCTATTCCATCATGCTGGGCCATGCTGCAGAAACCCCGATACCTGCCTTGCACCATCACCAGGTAGGGGTAGAGACACGTAAGTCGAATATGGCCTCGTAGCAGACCATCTGCTCTGAAACAGGGTTGGTAGCTTTCGTCGGACATGGCTACAATGTTCGTAACCACATGAATGGCAAGATACGCGGCCCATCTCCCCAATAGGAAAGACTTTCTGAGGCCATTATCCCATTACGACGAGTATATAACAGGCACACTACTCGAGGCTTGTGTTGAGTATTTTCCCGTCATGTTATGTCGGCGGACTTGCCAGTTATACACCTCTTTTACAAGCGGCGGCCTCTTTCACGCAAGCTTATGAAGATGTCGGCACCAAGTAATAGACCCGTATCGGCCGGATACACCGAACTAGTTTCCGGTAACGGTAGCGTGAAACCTCCATGTCTACGGTGAAGAAAGTCGTTAATAGGTTGGAGACAGGTGACTTTGGAGACATGTTCTGGCCCGTCGACGAAGCCGCAAAGAATTGCGGAAGCTCGGTGGGAGTCGAGAATGGATCAGCTGGTCCGGACAACACAGAGAGCCAGGTGAAGGATGGACTACACGGGGGTGAGACGGAGGGATCCTACAGCAAGGGCAAACAGTGAAAATATGCGCCTTGTATGGAGGAATAGTTGCACGTGGTTTTCGCGCTTGTTCCTGGGACAAGGCCGGGCTTGTTGCTGAATATGGGACGGGAAGGCTCTTCAGACTTGTATCTTTGAAAAAAGAGGAAATAAGAGGACATTGCAATTTTCGTCGGATTAAGCATCCCAAAGTAAAATTTCGTGGAATGTTTTGTCCAGGTTGGGTTGGGGGGAGATGCTGGAAGTGTTGCCTCCGCGGCTCAGTCTTTTGCCCGATTATCATAGATGATGACGAGTGATCTGCTGCAAGAGCCTCGAGGAGAAGATCAAAGTACCGGGTCTCGGGAAGCCCAGGTGCCAAAGTCCAGGCCAATTCTTCGTTTCCCCCATGTACTGCTGAGCACACCGCTCGCTTTTTGGAGGGGGGCGAGGTTAGAGCTGGAACCCGGAACACAACACATCAGCACTGCAGGCCCGTCCCAGGGTCAAACGGCGTTGTATGGCGAGGCCATTTAACCCCCCAGGCTGTGCCCGTCTGTCAGGCAAGCCTCACCTACCTCGGCGTTATGGAGGGACTCGATGGCAGACGTGGGTGTGCAGCATGAGCCGACTTCAAAAACACCACGGTCCTTCTCGCCATCCCGCCACCTGGACTCTTCCCTCTTGGACCTCGCCCACCCGGAGCCATCGCTTGCGGCGCCGGAAGAGGCAGTGGAGGCAGGCGCGCACTTTTCCGGCCTTGAGACTACTTTTTATGAAGTGCCAGTGAGTCACTACAAAAGGTCTCCTATCATTTGCTGGCCTCGGTTCGATGCTAATCCAGCGTACGGAGCAGCTCGTACCAGGTTTAGCAAGTACCGGCTCCTTCACGGGGGCAGGCCTTGAAATACCCGTCTGGCAGCCGCGCGGGTGTAGACTCGCGCTCGGCCCATTCAGGGATTCCATCATGATTGTCTGATAGCGCAGCGCGAGCCTGCCGTTGCAGGTGAGAGAGCCGCCCAGGTGAGAGAGGCGGCTCTCTCATATACTGGGGGGAACACAGGGGCAATTCTGCTCGCGACTGTGGCTTTGATCATCTGCCGGTTTTTGGAGAGTCCTTGAGCTTGGGCGTGGTCGCTGGTTCCGGCCCAGAGTGGCAGGTCAATCAATCCTACTTGCAATCCGTCCGAAGCGATTGTATTGATCCTGCTCGACTGTCCGTCTGCTACCACGTGCCCTCTGAGCCGCTGATTGTCCACAGCCAGGGATGTCATGCCGCTGCTGCAAGCGCTTATACCATCTTCACCCACCTCTTCACCATGGTCCCCGGACCGACCACCCTTCGCGTCCACACAGTCTCAAAATCAAGCCCCGACATATCAGCTCTCAGGGCCCGCACCGTCACGCCTCTCGGAAACTACATCGATTCCCGCTAGAAATCAAGAGGGGCTTGGCGCCGGGCTTGTCACGACCAACTCCTCTGTCGGGAGTCGGGGCAAATATCCCTGCGAGTTCGAACGTAATCACGGCCGGTTTGTATCGTGACCGAGCCAGGCACTGTTGGCATATTGACGCACAAGATGTCGAAGTGCGTTCCAGCTGTGAGAAGAGAAGGGTCTCTTCATCCAAGGCCATGCCAGGCTTCTGCTGGTCCATAATTTGGGACAACCGAGCGACTCTTCCTTCTACAAATTGCCTTGCTGTCTGGACCACACGATGCTGTTCCGCAAGACAGTCGCTCAAGGTTGCGATGTTTTGTGCTATATTATTCAATTGCTCGTGCATAGCAACGAGACTACCCAACTGTATGGCGCTCGCGTCATTCTGTGGCGGAACGCGTAAAGCTTCTTGGCTGCCTGTTTCGTCGTGTATCTCGCCTTTAGGATGGAAAATAGCCAAGTTGCCGTGCAATGTCTCGCCTGGAGTTTCCAATTGAGTTACTTTAGCTTTGGACTTTCTTGGTCTTCTTCGCCTTCCACGCCGCATGGGGCAACGAGCTGCACATGAATCAAGAACGTTGCTTGTGACCACAGGGTTCTGCCCCGAGCTCGGTGGCTTTTGTTCCTCGGCGGTATGATTGTCTCTGGCCGAGCGTTCGTTGACGGGTTCTTCACAACTCAAGGGTTGGTTAGGGAAGGCCCAAAACCTTTCTTTATTCCAAACTCCCATCCTAGTATGACGCGGCGATTTCGTCTCGTGTAGTGCGGGAAACTCAGTGTCATAATTCGAGATTCGGAAAGTCATTTGATCCTTCGTACTTGTTGGAGCGCCAAGTCTCCTCCTCCCACTCCCCCCCTCGCCTTTGGGGGTATTTGCAGGACTGTTGCTGTAGAGACAATGAACTTTTTCCGCGCCCGGTCTATCTTGGAAACGCCATGTTTGTTGTAAAGTCTCTTCATGCGTCTTTTCATTGATGCTAGCTGCTCTCTGGAAAGCCCAGTTAAGCAGTACGACCTGGCCTCAAGCGTCTTGTTGGGTGCAAGCAGTGCTGTGACCTGGTTGGTATACAGCCTCTCCCAGATGTTCATCCTCCCTTAACAAGCGGCCGAGCTGGAACTGTTCCCCCAGAGTGGACCCAATGTAGGCCTCATATGGTATGTGACAACCTTCGAGAGACGGATCTACCCGCTCTGTTAAAGGGCGCTTTACATACTCAGGTTCCCAATCCCAACTTGCGTTCTCTGCATCAAAGCTGAAATTAATCAGAATTATTCATGCCCCCCCCCC